GGATCACATTTTTTCTGTGGCGTTTGGTGGGGGTAGTGCGGCTATTGTCTGAATAGATTCCTGTCTTTCTGAGCTGGCCGTTTTTAAGTCCTTTTTGGCTTTCTTGGGGCTTTTGTTGTTTGTGTCATTGGTGTTTCTAGTTTGACAAATTCTCCAGCACTGGAAAAGAGACAAAAAGAAAATTCAGAGAACTCAGTGTTGTGCTGTTCCTGGGATCATCCGAGCCAGTCTACCTTTATTTCTCTACCTTTCTGAGTCTTCCTATGTTTGTTTTATAACTACTGTGCAGGATTTTTAGATGTACTTAGCAGGAAGAATAATGGAAAATTATATCTATTCCATATTTTTGGGAGAAGTCACTCAACAGATGTAAATTGGGAAATGAAATATTTTTCTTTCTAAAATTCTCAAAAGAAGTTAGTCTTAATTCATTTGAAGTGTAGTGCTCTACCTAAATGGGTAATTTAAAATAAGCATTAGGATAATGTTGCAAACTATCAATATAGACATTTGCTTATGAGGGATATTTGCTCTTGTTTTATCAATGTGTTTTTTATGTTCTTAATTATAAAGTTAAAAATCTAATATTAAGACAAACTATGTTTTCCTACTGACCCACTAAGACCTAAATTTTGTTCTTCATTTTAATTTGTTCACATACCTTAGATTGTTCTCTGGTGTTACCACTGCTTCATTATCCTTTATTACACAGCTCTTAGGGTTTGCTTTGATCCTCATTTGCCTGTGATGGCTTCAAAATAACCTACTTAAAATATATTTTGAAAACAGGTGAGGTAAAAACAATGGGCTTTCTAAATTTTATGTAGGACAGATTTACAAAAGACAATCTGGTTGAAGGGGTATTTTAGGAGACTTCTGAAATTCTATTTGTAAAGTAAGTATATCGTGCTCATTTAGACTGTTTTTTGTTTCTTTTGTGTGGCTATGATTTAGAAAAATAGATCCCCTTTTTAGCCCTCTGACAGGTGCTTTTACTGAAGTACAGTCACAGTTTCATCCATTCATTCATTTATTTAACAAATATTTATTGAATGCCAACTAAGCACTGTTCTAGATGTTGGGGAGGTTCCATTCTAACAAATAAAAGAAGTGTAGTATTGTGCTGCCGAAAATAAGGCAATGTCATCCCTTACAATACTGCACAGAAATTGAAAAAGGCACCCAACCAAAGAGAAAAAAAAGCAAACAAACAGAAAAGTTTAGACTAAAAGCAAACTTATAAAAACACAAAATTTCCCCTCTAATTCCTTAAACTCAAACTAATTGAAGTCATTAAATTATTAGTGTACCTCAATATACATTTTAGCTGTGAGATAGAAGCAAAAATAAAGAAGTTAAAAATCATTGAGGATTGAATTTGAGACAATGGCAATTATTTTCCTCAAATTTCTGTGAATTTAGAAGTTTTCTACTTCTTTTATGGGGTGTATTAATAGATGGTGGAAAGAATCAGAATAAGACATAAATATCTGCTCTGTCAATTACCAGTGTATTACTCTAGGAAATTATTTAACTTCCTTAAGCTTATTTTTTTATCAGCAAAATGAGAGTAGAATACTTACTTACCTATTAAGTATTCTATCTAATAATTAAATAATATGCCAAATTTAACTTATCTAGTACATTGTATGGCTTATCAAAATCTCACTTAAATCTGTTTCTCTCCCTCCCCTAGTCCATGGACAACTCCGTTTGTCTATATATACATTCAACAGATTTTCAATATTTTCAAGCAACGTAAAATTGAAAAAGGCTTAGAACATTGTTTTCTCTGATTATTTTTTGACACTGACAATTTATGGAAGAAGGTTATAATGAAATATTATTTTAAAAGTTTTAAACTATTTTTAAAAATAAGAATTTCTCATGTGAAAAGAAAACAAAGAAGCTGCTAAGAAATCCTATTAATCTAGTTACTCTACACCCCAACATTCTACAAGGAATAATACTCTTACAGCCATGTGCTGAGTGAAACAAGTCAAATGAAGAAGGACAATCATCATATGTTTTCACTCATATGTGGAATATAAGAAATAGTGAAAAGGACTATAAGGGAGGAGTGAAACTGAGTGGGGAAAAATTAGAGAGGAAGACAAACCATGAGAGCCTCCTAATTCTGGGAAACAAAGGGTTGTGGAGGGAAGGAGAGTGGAGGGATGGGGTGACTGGGTGATGGGCACTAAGGAGGGCAGTTGATGGGATGAACACTGAGTGTTATACTATATGTTGGCAGACTGAATTGAAATTTTAAAGAAAGGAAAAAGATACTCTTACACCCATAAAAGTGGCTTTAAGTAATATATAACACCATGTACAATGAAATCCTTAATCTAAGATTCTCTTTTAACTCATTTATATTTTTATTTCAACATAATAAACTTTTTTTTGTTTTTTTTCTAGTGATTAGAAAATTGACTAATGCATATTATAAGGGAAAAAGAAAAACACAATGAACCCAGTATCTCATTATCTAGAGATAACTCATTTTGCAATATGTATTCAATCCTATGTCTATGATACAATGAAAAATGACCAAAAAAATCCTCCTAATAGCATATAATATAATGAGTTTCATAGTTCTTTTCTTATAAAATTACTCAAAGTGAATAAATGGCAGTAAGGTAAAACATACTATAAGCAAGCTAGTGGTCAATGGGGAGGTGTAGCAAAATGATGGGATACATGTATATAAAACTCTGATGGTATAGTTTAATCCACAGATAGTATTTAAAATAGCTAGAAGAATGGATTGAGTACTCTCTAGGCAGTAATCGCAGGGATATTATTTTTCTTAATTGTTATTTGATGAGTATTAATGAGTCTGAGAAAGCAGAATTTGAGGTTAGGCCTCTGACAGTCTCTGGAGTACAGATATTTTATGTCTCCAATTACAGGATGATCCATACACCTAAAACCTCTAAATGAGCTCGGGATTCTCGGGGGAGTTACATGGAAAGATGGCTTGGTGGATTGATAATGAGATACAGAACCTTTAGCCTTTTGATCACAAGGTCATTTGTAAGCTAGGAAGAGGGTAACCAAAAGTCATTATTGGTCAATACCTTACAAGAGCAAAATGAATTGCTTAGCTCGGTTCAGTTTTTATTACCGTTTGAGAGCTATTTGTTACCAGTTATAGATCCAATGAGTGACCCTCTACCACTGAAGTTCACTTGTCCTGAACAGGATCAAGATGTGTTTTACAAACCATGAAAGAAGAAAAAAAATCTTTGTGTGCCATTATTCTGGCTGTTTTTTAAACTTCAGGATAGTCTATTCATCTACTTTTCCTAATCTAGAAGAATGGATTTAAAATTGTACACTAAGTAGAAAATTTTTAATTGGGTTTTTCTGAATTATTAGTTTGCTCTAAGCCAAGGCTAGTTGTTTGTGTCTTTTACAGATAGAGATGCTGTATTGTCTTTTTCTTAGTATTGAAAAAAACATGTTGTATCATGAAAATTAGGCAGTTTCGTTGCCCTTTTTAGTGATGAATTGCTGCCTGGATTGTCTGTGCTGGAACTATTTGCTCTTTTACTAATGCAAGGCTTGTAGGATTGTTTTGTAGTATATCCAAGAAACAGAGCCTTGTAGTTCATACCAAAGTTAATTGGGGTTGCTGCTGATTAATATGTGTCTTAGTTTAAATAACCTCATATTATGTGTCTCTAATTTGACAACAATTTACTTGTTTGTAGAAATAAATGGCAAAAACTAAGAGGAGAAAAAGTATTAAGACCAACTAGTTAATAATTCAGAGAAAAATTAGGCCTGGTGCTCTGTATACAGGATTAGGGACTGAAGTAATTATCTACAATAGTATATAACCCAACAGGCAAGAGGTTTCCGGTTATCCAATTCTGAAAGAAAAACTTCTATGAATATTCAGCAAGAGCCTAATGCCTGGCATAAAAATTAGCAGAAAGATTAGTTACACATAGATTTAGCTTTCAGATAATATAATAGACCATAAGCAAATAGAGAGCCAAGAATACTCTTGCTTTATAATCTCAGCACCTAAGAGAGTACCTTGCTGAAGCTGACTGAGGGTTGGGTAATTACTGAAAGAATGAATGAATGAATGGATGAACTGTTATAACATGTTATTTATATGTCCAAAGAGTCTGCTGTGGATTTTTTTTTACAGATGAGAGAGCTTAATTGAAGTCTGAAAATCAGAGATTTGCTTTAGTAGTAAAATCATAAATCCCATGAAGCATCTTTACTAGGAAAACAACCATAAGAAAGTCTTTGATCAATTTAGCTCTCTATTATCTGCAGCTAATATATTTTTGCACCACAGCAAAAGTACAAAAGCATTATATATGATTCCATTCTAATTTATTTTCATGTGACTTCATTTTTTTCTTCATCCATTATTACCCAAAATTCTGATTATTCATTCCATTGACTGGTTCTGGTAGAAGTTCTGAGAGCAGAATTTAAAACGAGTTCCATGTATACCTGTATAACTCAAAAATTTATACTTTTCTTTTTTGTTATCACTCACCATCATTGAGAATAACTTTTTTTTCCCATTGAGAATAACTTCAAGTAATGCTTTGGTTGAACTATATTTATAAAAATAGGGGTATATAAATATTTTTTTCATAATTTGGCTTGTGATGCATAAAAGGTTAGAGACTCTATCAATGAGTTTTTGTTTATGTATGTGCCTGTGTGTAAGCACTTGAACAAAATGTGATTCTCTGGATGGGGCACAATGGAAAAGAATGTCACATATTTTTTCTCAATTTCCCTGTGTAGTAGAACAAAATGTTAAATTCCTTGATTCAGCTCATCCAAACAAAATTCCATACTCCCTGTCATCAATGTGAAATTTCTCTTCAAAATCAGCAACAAATGAAACATGAGTCGACGTAGGAAAGGACGTGTTTTTCTCATCAGTTTTCCTGATAATAATTGCCTGTTTTCCCATTTACCCTTAGCCTCGTCAGAAACCCTTCACCACCTCCATAGATCCATCCTACCAGAGGTCACAGATCACACAAAACCTACAGAAACAGGAAATCAAACTTCCTGAGTCCACTACAAAACACAGAGACCTATTTCCTCTACACATCTCAAATTGGCAAAACCGTGTCTTAGCGGATTCAGTGTGGAAGCAGCTGTTGAAAAGACTAGGAGGACTATATCTCCCAATTTCACATGAGCTTTCTCACTTCAAACTACTGAGATGAAGGGAGCAGGGCTATTTATTCTGTTTTCTAGTTTATGGAATGGGGGCTTTGGGCTTATCGACACCACGGATACTTGGACTACCCCTGAGGGTGCAAGCTCCCAGGAGAACATAGCCTCTGCTACAGTTTCTCAAAATAAAATGCTACCAACCCCTCAGAGCACATCAGCTGAGATATCCACAATTCCTGAGGCAAGAACCTCTGAAGAGAGTCTTCTAAAATCCACACTGCCTCCTTCAGAGACAGGCACACCTCCTGAGGCTATGAGAAGCCAAACTCTCACATCCACAGGGAAGACAGAAGGGCTGCTGAAGTTACAGACTCTTGGCCTCCCAGTCAACCCTAGCCTCCAGTTGAATCCAAGAGCAGACTCAGTGGTCCTTACCAACTCTACACTGAAATTTCTTCAGACCTTTGTCAGAAAGTCGAACCAACAAGCGATCGCTCCCAACTCCATTGAGGGCAGCATGGGGAATCGATCCCCACGGGAAACGTACCTCAGCAGAGGTGACAGCAGTGGAAGCCAGAAAACCAACTCTCAAAAATCAAGTTTTGAAACAACAAGAGGAAAGTAAGAAACAGTCTTTTCTTTTCTTGTCTCTCCCTAACTGTAAAGTCTGTAAGATTGTAAACTAACAGTTAAACTGTCTCACTCTCAGAAAATGTTTTCACGTTCAAGATGAAATTGGATCACGTTTCAGTTAGATAAGGTAATTAAGCATTACTTTATCTAATGGAAAAAAGATGAACAAAAAAATGGAGCAATTTTGTTTTAATTGAACCAATCAAAGTCACTTATAAAAAGGCTTTTACTTGAGATATTCACTAACAGTGTAACACCACAGTGACTGTTAGTTGTTTATTCAACTCAAGGATACATTGGCGGTGCTCAGGACACCCACAACATGAAAGAAAAAATGACAATACAGTTGGGAAATGAACGGATTTAAAAACTGACATAGCCTGGCTATGCAGGGTATAGTTATGAAGATCAAGCCAAGGAGAGCTGGGGTGGAATCATGTCTCCAGTATTGCCTAGTTTTGTGACTTTGAGCAAGTTAATTGAGCTCCCTGAAACAGAGGAGTTTTTTTATATGTAAAATACAAATATAGTATAGGAAGTACAGATAAAAATACCAACTTCATGGGGTGATTGTGCAAGGTTCAGATTAATGAGATATACTTAGATGCCCCCTTCTCAAAGAACAGGTGGTAAGAAACATATTTTACTAGTACTGTTATGTTGAGTTATGCCATTATCATGAATGTGATGAATAGAAAAGCCAATTTTTCAAGTTGATTTTGATTTAAAATTCAAGCAAATGCTATGTGAACTGTTGAAGTAAAAAAATAAAACTTTAAAAAGGATTGTTAAAGAAGACGTGCAAAAGGACCAAAAAAAAAAAAAAATCCTACTAATAAAAAAAAAAGTATTGTGATTCAGGTCAATGTTTTTATTCATTTAATGTTCAGAGTGATCTGTTTGGAATGCTAGTAGTTTAGTGTTATGAAACTAAACTTTCAAATACCTTTTACCTGGAATAAAATAATTTCAAGACATCAAATAATGCCTTGGGATCTTAGTTAAGTTAAAAATCATACTAACTATATAACATAGTTTAAGTTAATGATAGGAGCTTACACCTGCTCTGTGAAAGGTATTGTGTCAAAGTTGTTGTTGATATAAATATGAGGAGACACTGGAAAGAGTCAATAGATTCAAATGTAATGTAGTCAGAGGTTATAGAATTTTTAAAAATATATAAGTAAATCTGCTTTAAACTAAATACTTAGTGGAATTTAGAACAATCCAAACTTACAGATTACAAAATGTCCAACTTATGGTTGGATAAACTTTCCCTATAACAGACATTTTGACAGATATGAATTAAACTTTTTCATGTTAAGGAGCAACAGAATGTGGTCTATTAAATAATGATAGCAAATGCCATGCCACTTATATGATCATTTCTATTAGTCATATTTTATTAGACTCTATAATTTTATTTTCAAACCAATTATATAGAACTCTTAGGCACTCATTGAAAATGATCATGAATTTTTGAAAGATGCTGTCATCAAGAGATTTTTCAATAGAATATGAAATAAAATCAAAACAAGAAGGGGAAAATTCACACTAAAATGTCACTTAAGTTTTATATAGAAAGTGGCATATAATTGCTTCATAATTAGAACTAGTAATTGATCATTTGAGAAATGCTAGCTTTTAAATAAATTCTAATTGTTTTATTATGTGCCTAAGACTCTTCTAGCTTCTAAGGATATATAAAATTCTAAAACTAAGAATGATTCTGCCTGCATTATGTATCTTATAAAAAGTAAGCAATAACATATCTGCAGGTTTTTAAAAACTCAATATGTGTTAGGAGGAAACGATATTTAAGGTGTAACCCGCTGAAGAGAACTTAGTCCATGGATTTTCCAATGAAAATAATTTAATTTTTTTCTAGAGAAAAGTACTGACTGTACTTATTCTATAGCCTGAGGCCCTGGAAAGCCTGAGGTTTTCTTTTGGTAATGCCTTTGGATGAGGACCTTTTCATCAGGTCCAAGATATATATATATATTTTTTTAGGTCCAAGATTTATTACTTGTTTTGCCATGCAGTTGAAATGGTGCTAGAGAAAACAGTTCCATGCCTTATGGACACAATGCTGATGCAAAGAAGCTTTGATGAAGTCTTTCATTTTTTCATTTGATTAGGAAATAATAACAATAGCAAACACTTTATGACATCTGTTCCTATCACTGTATTGCTCTGTATTGCACTTTTCAATTATTTAATCTCTATCATAACTCCATGAAGAAGATTAAGAGAGATTAAGTAATTTAACTAAAATCACTTAAAAGTCAATCTCAGGGCAGAGATTCAAGCTCGGGTTGACTGGCTTCAGGGACATAACTTTCAACCCCTACACTATACTCCTTTAGCAAGTGCAGTCTGTTCTCCCAAGTGGGTAAATGAGAGTTACGAGTTTTTTTCCCTGCTTCTGAGTCTTCAGAGGATATTCTTTGCTTCCGGAATAAAGCTCAGATCCTTACCCAATTAGTTATACAATGTCATCCTTGATCTGACTTTTGCCTACCTCCCCAGCATTGTCTTCTGTGACTTGCTGGCCAGTAAAATTTGTGAGTCTCTGGTCCACAATATGCTATTCATTAAACCTATCATTGTACCCTGCTTGTCCCTTGTCCCTTTGGCTAACATGGTTTTTTCTCATCATCTACTTCCTTTACACCCAATAATAATAGCTTCAGGAAGCCTTCTCAGGCTGTCAGGTGGACCTTCTAACTTTAATAGAGCTCTCCTTGAATTTTTCTATCACTACACTTACAGTAGTGTATTATAATTAGAGTGAACTTTGTGATCTCCTTTCTTATGGAGACATATTATGAATGCTAGCAAAGTCTCTGGTTTATAATAGGTACACAATAAATATTTAACAAGCTGGATGCAAAATTTAGAGATTAATATGTGAATATAAAGAGGAATCCTCCCCAAAGAAATATTCTTATTTCTCTATGATGAAATCTAGCTGATTCATTTTAGTTTTTTGTTGTTATGTTGTGTTTCTTACTGCCCTTGGAATTTTATAGTGATTCTAAGTAAAAGGAATACCTCTGTCTAAAGAGTTTTCTGGCATATTTTTGTCTCATCTTGTACTTTCTCTCAATTTAGTGCTGCAGAAATTCCTGGTTACCCTAGGGCTGTGGTTTCCTATCTGGTAGAGTGGTTGTTGGTCAGTGATCAAGCAAGCACTTTGAAATAAGCAGGATAAAAAACAATTAGAATTAACATATTTATACATTGAAGAATTATTTTCTGAGGACCTAATTTGTCTCCAGCATTATACTTGTGCTGAGGGTAAAATAGTGAACAAAAACTGCCACCTCTTCTGCCTTCATGGAGTCTACAGTCCAGAGGTGAGAACATTGGAAAGAAAAACAGTGAATCACAAATGCTGATATTGAATCCAAAGGGTGGTAAACATTCTGAATGAAGCTTACAGGAGTATGTAACAGAGTGAATGGCCTACTCTGAAGGTGAGTAAGCCTCCCCTAAGAGCATACTAAATAATATGAGGTATTGATAGATGTCATTGCCTATTTAAGTTCTCCCACAATCCCAACCCCTGCTCACATATATGTGAATCTTCACCATCCATTAAATCTCTAGTTCTGTAACTAGAAACCCTGGATATATCCTTGACATTTGTCTTTCCCTCCCAGCTTTTATCTAATCTATCAAGAAGTCTTATTGGTACTCCCTCTACTATATCCCCAATCCCTCTCTATCTTCCCTATACTCTCCTTTCCTAGCCATCATTATCCCCCATCGGAATCGTAGCTTGTCCACATGTGACCACTCTTGCCCCTTGTAATCCATGTTCCACACAAGCAAGAGATTCTTTAAACTTAAAAATAAATAAATAAATTTGACATATATCATTGTGTAAATTTAAGGTGTTTAAACTTTTAAATTGAAATAATGCATTTCTTTTAATGTAAGACTTCATCTTTTGTGATATTATTTATCATACTAATAAGAAAAATATATCACTATTTCTTACAATTTTTAGATTTATCTCTTAGAGGTTATTTTTATTTCTATATATACATGTCACTCTTGCATACTTAAAATGAAAAGATAAATGAAACTGGTCAAGGTGTTTCTATAGCAATGCAATAACTACTCTCTGACAATAGTGAGCGAAAAATACCATTGATTGTAAAATGTATTCTTGATTTCAGAGATATTGTCTTCAAATCTGTGGACTTTAGCATTTGGCACACTTGCTAAAAATCACTCAGTAGATTTCCATTCTATTTAGAATAAAATCCTAAATCTTCACTGTGGCCCACAGAGTCTTGCTTGTTATGACCCCTGACTATCTCCATGATCCCATCATCATCACACTCTAAGTTCATTCAACTTCCGTTCCTCCAGCCATACAGGCCCTCTCCCTGGGTACCGAACTTGTTCAGTTTATATGCATCTCAAGGAAGCTTCCTGTTCATTCTTGCTAGAATGCTCTTCTTTCAGTATATGGAAGGAGAGAATTCTTTTCCTCATACACCTTTAGCTTTAATATCCCTCCTCAATGAGAGGGATATTACCCTAATTACATCTAATTACCCATATGGAAATTTGCTGTTCTTATTGTATCACCTTTATCTTTTTCTTCATGGCACTCACATGAAAATATTGGATTTATTTATGTAGGTGGTTGTATCTTTTGTTTTTCCACAATAGAACATATATCCCCTGAAAATGGGAACAATGCTTTTCTTATTTTTTTTCTTTTTTTGGTTTCAGAGTAGAATTTAGTAATTCATCACTTACATATAACACCTAGTGCTCATCACAAGCGCCCTCCTTAATATGCATCACCCATCTGTCCAACCCACCCTCCATATCCCCTCTGGTAACCCTCAAGTTTCTCTGTAGGTAAGAGTCTCTTGTGGTTTGATTCCCTATCTCTTTTTTTCCCCTTCCCCTTTGTTCATCTGTTTTGTTTCTTTTCTTTCCACAGGATATTCTTTCCTGAT